CGGTGTATAATTGGTCGCGCGGGCGGCCGGCCCAGTGAAAGTGGCGGCGTGGTGGTGGTGATCGGGACGGCAGCAGGTCTGCAGCAGCGCGCCCGCTGGGGCGTATTAGAATAACATTATGCCACGCCACGCCCCGCCACCAGCGGGCGCGGGTTCATTTGCCTGCGCTGCACCCAAGAGGCTGGGCTGCTGCTGCTGCTGCTGCAGGACTGCTCCTGCTGGGGACCCCCTCCGGATACCTCTTTTCAGCTCGCTCAGAGCCCCACCTCGGTGTCGTCGCGGGGGGGATTCCCCTTCCCCGCCGAGCCCAAGTGGTGCAGAATACCACCCCCAGCTGAGAACCGTCGTTGTCCCCCCGCTACAAACGAAAAAAAAAATCAGCTACATATCTAAAGAATAGCTAAACTGCGGACAACTAATAATTTAGCTTGAGAAGCTAAAAAAACTGTCTACTACTAGACACACTTAAGTTTTTATGTGTGCAAACATAAATTTAGAGTAGCAATTTTTATTTTGCGATATTCAGCTATTATTGTTTAGCTATACAGCTTGTCATTTTTTTGCGTGGAAGCGTAAGCTCATCCGACGCAGTGCTGCGCGCGGGGGGTTTCTCGCTATTGTAGCGGAGCTCACGAAACAAAGTACACCCTCCGCTGTATGGTCAATAACTTCGTCACGAGCGACGGTAATTTTTTTTTTTTTTTTTTTTTTTGACGCAACTTGATATAATGTCCGCCTGTCTGACGACACATGACACGTGCTGCTTTGGTCTCGGTGACGCCCACACGACGCCCAGCCCAGCAGCAGTGCACCGCGCGGCGGGGTCCTCTTGTATTGTCCTCCACGGTGTTTGTTCCCTTTCACTGCCGCGTGCCTGTCACACGTCACACGTCGTTGTGGAGGAGAAGAAGTGCAGCACTTCACGTCTCCGCCTAACCGAGGCCCACTACTCGGCCCTCGGCTCAGACCCACGACGGCGCAGGGTGAGCAGCAGCCGCCCACCAGGACCAGCCAGGACCCGAGGACCCCCCGCCTAGGAAACCCCCCGGGTCGGAGATTTATCCTGGGAAGAGCGCGACGCTTTCGCCCTTTTCCATAGACAACAGTCGCGTCGCGCACTGATCTGCCATCATGATGACCCACGCGGTGGGCGCCGGCGGCAAGGACCTGGTCCGGAAATAAAAAATAATAAAAGAGAAACAATCTCATAGAGAATCTATCTCGCACGGTGTAATAATGCAGATCGTCTGAAAGCGATACGCAAATGAACAGCGCGCAAAAAGAGTTGAAATACAAAAACAAAAAAACGTGGCACCCATCATAGGCGCGCACTTTTACCCGCCGCGTATTAAAATCATCCTCTCGCATATCGATACATTTGCAAATTGATGGCGGCCGATTAGGCGATGCCCGCGGCCGGCGCTAAACGTGCGCGCCTCGCGCTCGCGGTCGGCCGCCGCGGGTCCGGCCGGCACCAGACCGCAAATCGCGCTAACAGCCTCAACACCCGACTAGTAACAGGCCGAGCACGATCCCGGCGGCGGCGGCAGCGACCCGCGCCGATCAGCAGCACCAAAGTCTTCACGCATCACGACCCTTATTCTGATTGGTTGTAGACGCGAACAATTTACGAATTAGGCGCGTTGGTGTATCAATATCGTCGATCTGCAGCTACTGCTAATTGTTTAGAAGAACGGAGAAAAAAATCTAGAATTTTTTATTGCAGACTAATTTGGGGTCGTATGCATTATTTTTTCGAAGGGGGGGGGGGTGGATAGTTATTTTATCTGCGCGGTTTTATTGGTGTTTTTTTCATGTCCCGGTCACTTTTATCACAGCTTGTGCCGCCAAAAGCCCCGCTTCATCAACTCACCAGCGGAGCTGAACTGAACTCAATACATAATTATAGGACCAGGCAAAAGAATCGCACCCCACCCCCTAGGTCCAAACGTAATTTTTTGTATACGTCCCCCAAAAATACCACTAATAACAAGGCCAAAAGGGTCATCGCCATCACCCGGAGTCGGCTCTGCCTGCTACGAGGACAAGAGTGCACCGTCCTCTCAAAGCACACACACACGCACACACGCACACACACACACACAGCTGGGGCGCCAGGCGCCTCTCCTCCTCCGGTAGCCTCCCTCCTACCGCCTACTCATCTCCGACCGCAACTAACTCACACACACACACACACACACACTGTATACTTCGGCGGAATAAAAAGGAAGTACTTGTCGAGCGTAAATTGTGTAATGGTGTGCTGCTGCTGCTCCGCGCGGTATGCTCCGCGGCGCGGTGCTCCTGCCTGGACGCCCGCCGTCGCGCGCGCGCCGCGGCCTTGCCGGCGCGGGTACCCGCCGCGGCCAGAGGGCGCCTGACGTCAGGCTATAGGAAGCAGATGAGCTTGCTGCTGGTGGTGGTACAGTCGCTGACAGTGCCATCATCGTTATTATTATTATTATCATCTACTGCAGTGGACATAAGCAAAGCTGCGTGGCGTAGTATACATGTGTGTTTGTCCAAAATGCTTAATGTCCCACTTAGTGTCGCAAAGAGGAAGAAAGTGCTGTGAGTAAGTGACATATTGCTCGAGGAGGAGTTTAGGGTCAGAAAAAAAAACTTAGCGAAAAGGCGCGGGGATTGCGAAACACCAGAGTCAGAACTAATATCCGCTGCAAAGTATACAAATGTCTGAACAGTCAAAATTTAAATGGAAAAATTAATTTTAAAAAGGCCTGCCTTTTGACAGTGTGGGAAACGTTTTGGGGGCTCCTTGCGCGGACGTACTCAGCGCGGTAGTGTGAACCAAACGGGATGGAGAGGAAGGCATTAACCGTGGCAACAGCCTCCGGGCGTCTCTACTAGCCAAGTTGTTACGAGTTTTCGCTTCTTTTTCCCCGGTCGGGCTCATGGGCCCCACGGGGCCTGGTGCGGTGAAAGGGAAGGAGCAGGATGCCTGACTCGAAAGAACAGAAATAATAACAACAGTCATAAATGCCCCCCGAAACTGCGTGAAGTCGCACAGCTGAAATAATTAATGAGTTGAAAAAATACGAGGTGCGCCAAGTGCAAAGAAGCGTTTTTGTTGCATATGGAATCGTCCAGAAAGTACATCCGTCATTAGCCGTTACGAACTGTTAAGTTAACCCTTTGCGTGCAAGAGCTCATAGCGCCTGGTGGGTAGGCAACATCTCGCCTGCAGTGCACGCATGTACTGCGGGGTGGCCTACCCCGAGTCTCACAGGCTTTTGAATTTAAGAACAAGGAGGAAAGAAAACACAAAATTAATTTTGTGTGAATACTGGTACTCGTTCTTTACAGAGACTCTTTCAGCGCTCAGTTGCTTTACATCTATATGGTTGTAGAATCAACGAGTGTTGTTCTGTCAACATGTGTCACGTTACTCTGAGAATATATATTATTATTAAACATGTACCATATGAAACTGGATGATGACGAAATTAAAGAGAAGGCTAGAACAGGCGCTATTCTCGGTATTCCCTTCAGGTCACAAGACAAGAGCATTGTTGCAAAAGTCGGCGCTTTCAAAAAGATGCGCGTTCCGTGAAAACCAAAATGAATATGAATCTACAGTTGGCGGCACAATAGCAGAAGCAACATCGGCAGACGGGACTTAGACTGAAAACTTGTGAAATCTGTTAAGAGTTCTCAAAATTTTGCTATAAGACCGAAACAATCTTCATTGCTTCCAGTAATACTAGCAAACGAAGTTTCGAATGGTAGTATTGTCATGTCTGTATGCGCTTCGTGTTCCAAGATGAAGATTTGTTGTGCGGCACGGGTCTATCGACTTAGAACGAAAACCGGCGAATTTTGTTAAGAGTTCTCAAAAAAGTAGTGTCAAACTTGAAAAAAGGTCCATTGTTGGTCACGCCGACAACATTCCCCGTTTCGAATGGTACAAGTATCATAAGTGTACATATTCTGTACTGCGAGCATGAATAGCGTTACGCGTGACATCGCACTGAGATCAATACTCGTTCTTCTACCACTGAGTAGGTGCAGGTGGTGGTAAAGAACGAGTAAAAAACGACTTTCTTTCTGGGCCCCAACTATAGGGGTTTGGGGCTTTTGGCGGCTCAATCACCACCCTAAGAACCAGAGTATTGCACTGTATTGCCCCACAACACTAAGAGTGGGCCGAAAAAAGTTCCTATGTGGCTCATACGAACGTCGCCGACCACTCTAATCAAAATCACCCGTTTTCAAACTAACTGGAAAAAAACAACTGAAAGTGCGCGCGACCGTTTCACCCTCGTGACGAAGTAGCATGAGTGACTCCGATAGAGTGAAATGCATACGGCCACCTGGGCGGGGCTGACGACGAAATGGCGCCTCATAGAAAATTAGGCGCGTGAGGGCGAGTGGGGCTGACGCAACGGAGTGCCCGGCCCGGCCCGCCCGTCCCAAAGTGATCGCAGCGCCATTGAGGGTTCATCACGACATTGGTCCCGCCGCGGCCCGCGCGCCTCCTGCCTGACCCGCCCGAGCCTTAGCAGGTCCATATACCAAACATCAATCAAGGTCCTCCCCCCTCCCCCCCAAAAAATGAGCTACAATTTTGGGTGAGGTTGGTAAGGGAGGGGGGGGGGGTTGTATTGTCCATGCCCATCACGACTCTTGCGCCTGCCGCAGGCGTTACATATCACCTCGTTGGATTCAGGACCCCAGACTTTCGCCTTTGAGCCCCCCTGAGCTTTACTTGCCGACGGTATGGTTTATGCATCTTCTCTCGCCGAGGCGCCGCAGGGGCCCCAAAGGGCTCCCCCCCCCCCGCCCCCAAACCCCTCAGGGGGGAGCTGCCGGCGGAGATGACATCACGCGAGAACTGGGGGGGGGGAGGGGGAAGCTGCGAGTGAGATGAGATGTGTTCCGTCATGGACCCTGAATGGACGCGCGCAGGGCGGGACCGCGCGGCTCGTGAGCAGCAGCGGTTGAGTGAAGTGCGAACTGGCTCAGCCGCGCGCTCAGCACCACTACACTGCGAAAAAGAAATAAATAAGAGGGGTCCGCAGCAGACGCGGGACAAGAGGTGTGAGGATGAGAGAGCGTGGACTCGATGACGGTCGCGGTGAGGGCAACGATGGCAAAGAAGTGCGAACTAGCGAGCGGCCCCGCAGCGAAAAGTCGAAATCGATGCGGTACCGCAACCATATCAGGGATGAGTCAGTCATCTCGGCACCAGTTCAAGAAGAGCGGTTCGACACGAAAAACGACAATTTCGCCCCCCCCCCTCCGATCGTCCTGATGTCGTCTTGACCTCGCCGTATGTTGTTTCTTCCTCACTGGGCGGCGTGAGGTCGGCTCGTTCGGTTCGGCCCGGCGGCGGGTGCGGTGCGGGTAGCGCCCGGAGGTCGGGCCGGCCCGTTGCTCGCGAGTGCCCGGCTTGGTGGCCTACCCGCGCAGGGGCTCTGGCTCCGACCCGAGCGGTGCTGCAGGTGTGTAGCTTGGCTAGGGATTTACATTTTCCAGATAAGTATGTTGGGGAAATTTTCTAACGTTTTCTTTTCAATGTCTGAATGTTTTTTCTATACTTTTGAAAATATATTTTTCAAATTTTCCCCTTCTATTTGGGGGAGGGGGGGGGGGGGGGAGGGGTGGTGGAAGTGGGGGAGGATTTTTTTCAAAAAAAAAATTTCCAGAAAATTTGCGGCTTTTAAAAGCCCAAGCTGGGCTGCGTGAGCCGCCGCCGCCGCCGCCGCCGCCGTCGGGCTCAGCGACGATGCAACCACCAAGAAGCTCATCAGGTGGCCACAGATTAATTTGCGTAATCTTTCGACGGAGGCAGTTGTGCGTGACGCACAATGTCTCAACGCGTACTGGCTGCTCTCAGCCGGGGCTGGAGCAGGCGACGACGACGCGGCTGTTTTCAGTGAGAATTGACGACGGTGGAAAACGATATCATATCGTTGCGACACGACGATTCCCCGTGTATCGTTTCAGTCTCATCGTCTGCCGAGAATCAAAGATTCCCGAAAGGAACTGAGACGAGGTGAGTTGGACCTGTCTCTAAATGAATATGTAACTTCATTACTATATTATTTATTTGTATTTTTTTTTTTTACAAGAATGATGGTTATATTTGCGCCGTATTGATTTTCAACTCGTTTACTATCCTCTCAAGCCGGAAGCAACTTAAATCTATCCCTGAATACTGAGAATCCAGCATATGTTCAGCGAGACCTCGACCAATCGCAGGCGCAAATAAGTAACCTGGAATTAAGGACAGTACTGTTTAGAACACGATAGATGTTGTATAAATTTGAGTAATCTTGAAACACTTACGGTTATTGCAAAAACCTCCAGCAACCAAAATATTGGGGTATCTTATAAGTGGTCCAAGCAATAAATGGTTATCCCATAAGCACTTGTCAACTATTTGAGCTTTAGATGATATGACCTAATGAAAAATAGTGATAAAATATTTTAGCATAAGAAATTAAGTATGGAATGTTTTCTGAAAAAAAGATTTATTATTCAACATTTAATACCTTGCAATCTTTAAAATCTGGTATTCTGTGAATTAGTTTGGGGTAGAGTTCTTCATTGAAATAGTTATTATCTACTATTGGCTCCTCATCACTTGCATGATCAACCAGGTCTTTTTCATTCCAAACAGAATATGTACCTAGTAAGCCATTCCTCCTGCAATTATTAACAAAAGAAGTATGTGTTTATTAATTATGATATAATATCAAATAGAATAGAATAATTAGATCTGTAGAAAGGAAGTGATGTACACTACCTGACTCTTAACCCACTGGGATCCATGATCAGTGGCATATCTAAGCCTGGGCCACTGTTAGACTGGATTTCAAATGTAGACAACTTTCTGTAATATTTCAGTTTAAGCTGACAGTGAAAAATAAAGGGAAACCTCTTGTAGACCCCCCCACAGGAAGACCCCCCTAATATTTTATTATTTTTAAAATCATTTTTCAGAATATTTATTTTTTGAATGATAAAATATTAAAAAACATTAATATTACTGGCTGGAGTGCAGGGCAAATTTTCATACCAACTCCGACTGCTCTCAGCTGGTCCTATGACCTATTGTCCTATGCCCTGCAGGATGACTTAAGCAACTGCTCTTCTGAATTGGGCTGCTTTATTTTAATGTACGTACTGGTGCTTAAATAATTCTTGCCTTTAGCTTCTCTCTCCTCCTCATCTGGTCTGCTGCTACTTGTTAAGATCGGTTTGATCGGTTTGAACATTTTGATAATATAATCTATCGACCAGTTCCACTTATATTTAGAAAGAGGATTTTGGTAATGCTGGACGAAGCTTGTGCTAGACACACAATTGTGAATTTGTCCTGCTGTTTCAAGCTGTTGCTTTGAAGCTTCTCTCATTCAGTTCCTGTGACACATGACATGACATGTTGAGTCGGTCTTAAGTACTGTTTTGTTCATTCATAGGATTTACAACATCCATGTAGGATAAAAATTACACAACTTTGTTGTGAGTACTAGATGAGATGAAATGAGCGTCAAATCAACAGCCTGAGGTGGCTGATTATTAAGGACAAGTAGCAGGAAAGCAAACGACAAGGAGAGAGAGAGAAGCTAGGGGCGAGAAATAATCGTGCATCAGCACATATATTTAAACAAAGCAGACCAATTCAGAATAGTAGTTTTTCAAGTCATCCTGCAGGGCATGCGACTAGCTAAGGGTGCTGTCAGAGTTGGTATGAAAATTTCCCCTGCACTCCAGCGAGTCATTTTAATATTTTTTAATATTTTATTATTTAAAAAATAAATATTTTAAAAAATAATTTTAAAAATAATAAAATATTAGAGGGGGGGGGGTTTTTCTGTGGGGGGGGGGGTCCACAAGAACCTACCCAAAATAAAAACGGATCATGGTTACAATGAATTTGAATAAATGTACTACATACTGTGATATTAGTGGTAAGTCTGTATCCTGGTTGTTTATTCTAAGAAGACTAGCAACTTCATTTATTGAATTTCCTGCTGCTAATACTGCATAACCAAAGGAGAGTCTTTTAGCATCTCCTTCTGGATCATAAATCTAACATGGAAGAATGGTTCAAAAGTTAAAGTGGTTTTAGATTATTACAAAGACCAGAGATCTCTACTCACCACTGCTGTTCGAGGGGTATATGTTTTAATCAAATGGTGCATAGGTGAAGCAAGGTCCGACACATCAACAAATTCAAAACCAACCACATTTCCCTGCTGAAATGTAACTCCATTTCTTCTAGCCTTTGCTCTTATAATGGCAAGAGCACATGATTCATTAAAACTAAAAGAAAGGTTTAAAAGAACATTCAGAAATGAACAAATCACAGCTAAAATGCAAAACAAAACATTGAGAGATTCACTTGGAGACTTACAATCCTTCTTTGTGCATGCCCAAACAACCAAGAACAATCCCATCACTATTCAGCCATGGAAATTTCTGCTTCAATATTTGAGAACTGAGCATTTGATGATTCCATTTTGTTGTTCTGGAATATGATAAAAAGCTTACAGGTAAATATACTGAAACCTGTAAGTTTGCTTAGTTTAAACAGTTGCTCTCTTACTTGTACATGTCTGATAGGTCGTCAATAATATCAGTTTTATCTTTTGGGGCAATCAAAAGTGAGCTATTGACATTGAAACCAATATCAGGAAGGGGTGGTAAGTCTGGGTCATCCCAGGTAAGCCCTAGAGTTCGGTAGAATTCTGCTGCATACTGGGTCATTTCAAAATTTGGCATTGAACCTACTTGATGATACAAATCACTTGAACAATTTGATATTTTCTAAGGATCAATAAAAATATTAGTACAGGAGGATAAAAAGAATCATTTTGCCCTAAACAACACAGCATTCTGAGAAAACTTACTGGTGGGTTTTTCTCCACTACTGTAACCTTTAACCCTGGCCCAGTTCTTTCAGAGAGATGATAAGCAATGGAACTTCCGACTATACCGCCTCCAATTATTAAAATGTCGGCATTTCCAGGAAAAGGTGGTGGCGGTTTTCCTTGTAAGTTTGCAACAGCTGTATCATAGTCAAACTTCATAACCTTTTTAACGCGAGTCCAGGGTTCCTCGGTAGGCAGTCCTGGGAGCACGATTTTAGATGGCAGTTTGATTTTGGGATAAACAACATGCTGAGGCTCATCATAATCCTGATTGCTGTTGTTTCGGATGGCTGTTGAAATGTGGCGGAATGAGACAGAAGATGAAACCACATTCTTCTGACAACCCCGAAAAAAACTGCCCAGCATCATCCTGCAAGTTTGAAAATCGGATGGCACATTTTAATAATACAAAATAATGCATAATACTGAAGTCTACCCAGTCTACCACAAGGTGTCATAACCTATTAGCTGGTTCAGCTAGCAGCCGACGACAGCGACCTAGAGTCAAAATGTGTGAATACTTACATGTCCGAACTGATGATGACTGAGAAAATAAATAAGATAGAAGAAAATAGTTTAAAAAAACAATATGAGAGTCATTTGACGTTGACACGGAAAATAAATGTCGCTTTTTAGTCCGCCATAACATTTCAGTCAAGGTAGAGGTTGTCTTTATGCACAGAAAGGTGTGGCTGAAAATAGTTATCAGTCCCTGTGAATAATCCGCGACAAAATTACTTACAGACAGGTTTAAGTAAAGGTGCGACGGAAAAAATAGGGGATGGTTACTTTGGATTGTTTTCATGACACAATAAATCTATGAAAGGGTAAATGCCGTATTTCCGCACTCACGCGGACTAACTGCTGCTTTTTAAATTGCAATCAGAATGCATCCTAATGAAGGGTTCCTTTGACTTTTTCCAGAGTGCTTGCACAAATCAAGATGTTAGCGTCGTGAGAGGTTGGGTTTCGCTCAATATTTACCACATTCGAAGATGTCTTTGAGCTCTTTCGGAGGTACATGATTTCCATAGTAATGTGATGTTATAACTCATTTACTCATTTTAAACCTTATATTATACTATCTGGTGAAATAGCCGTAACCTTTAGGCATCGTGATGGCGCAGTGCCTACTCTAGTAGAATTAGTAGATTTCTTGCATCCTCTACCCTATCGTCAAATTTGTTTTTCTTTAATGGCATACGGCACATTTTGCTTAAAGTTCCCGAGTTTGGATAGAAAATTGAATTATTAAATTATCATGGTAGTTTTTCAATCACAGAATATTTGGCAAATAAACTTAGTTGAAGGTTGAAAACAACATTTTTAATGTTACTTTCACATTCTAGGCGTGTTAGTGGATACACCAAGTGATTTAGCAGTGCAGTCCTTACTGGCCAGCCACACCAACTTGTTGTCTCAAACTTCCTTTTTGCCAGGCCCAACAAGTTAGTTCAAGTAAATTCTCTGACTCATTTAAAATGTCTGTCTTTCTTTTTATAATTCTACTACTTTTTGCTTTAGCTGAGATAACTCTCGATGAGGATGATGTTTTCCAATGTGGCCGCTGCAAAAGGGTATTCACATCATTCCATCAGTTTATGTTACACAAGCAAGAGCATCAGATAGCTGGTATGTTTACCTTTTATTTTAAAATTGTTATTTCAGTTAGTGTTAAGATAAAATTGCTAAAGTTCCTTGTGTTTTTCTTCACTTTTCAGTGTCTACTCCAGAAAGGATTGATGAGTCTTTAACATTTGATTTAAACTCAGATTTGACCAGTGCTGTGACAGATGCAGTACACACTGAGTCTGATTCATGCCTGCCCAGCACTAACTTGTTGAAGGAAACATGCTGTGAGCAATTCATATTGCCAGGAAGTCTTCATATTAATGAGGGCAGGAATACCAATAATGTTTTAGATTATCAAACCCTGAATACTTCAACTTTTGAGGGCATATCTGGGGGTAATGATCAATCTTTGATGCTCAGTGAAACCAATACTTTAAATTTTCCCATAGAGCAGAACATTTTGAATCTTGACAATTCGGATCAGGTAAATTAGATTCCGAGGTAATTTAAATCATATTGTTTTAGATCCTTTTTTTTTAACCCAAAATTTTTGTTGCAGCTTTCAAGTGGCGGTTATGTATCAGACACTATCTCTGGCCTTGACTCCTCACTGATTTCTCATAAGCTTCTGCATAATGAAGACTGTTCATCTTGCACCAATGTTTGGATGCAAACTCACAAAAATGAAACTACTAGCAACACCTTTCTTAACTCTGGATTCTCAAATGAGCAGAATTTTTTTATTGAAGACTGCGGTAAGACTTTATCATCCTCCATAAATTTCAACAATAACGGCCTTTTAACTGAGGTATCGTATTCCGATGAGAAACAAATGTACCTGAATGAAAATTCAAGCTCAGAAGGACCTGGAGTTGAAAGAAGTTTGTCAGAAACGGAAGAAATGCTGTTGCAAACAAGTAAAGATTATCTTAGCAGTTGTGAACTTCTGGAAGAGTTGGAGAAAAATAACCAACATCAGATATTAGATGACACAAATCTTGAAACAACCAATGTGATGGGAATTGATGTGTCGCTTATTGCCAATTCCGTTGTTGAAGCTTCTCTTGCCGAGAATGGAGGCCTTCAATCTGAAGTGTCTTCTCTTGTTCCTATACTCAACCATCAAGTTCAAGACAATTGTAGTATTCTTACAACTGACTGCCATGTATTTCAATCAGACTGCACAGCTCTTGAAGATGATTGTAATCTTCAGGTTAGGGATGACTGTATTCCATCCAAACAGAGCTGTGTGAATCTGCACATCGAGTGTAATGATCAAAAACATACTTGCAGTCCGTTGCATGCCGAGTGTGAATTGTTGGGTGAACACTGTAGTGCTCTAGGGGAATGCAATTTGGCTACAGTTCATGATAATTCAGGACAGAAAGCTGCTGTAGTGGAAGAATGCAGTTCAATCACATCTCTGAAAAATCATCAAAAATTTAAAACTCAAAAGCTTTCTTTGAGTGGAGGTGTTGATGGTTGTAGTGTTGGTTCAATCAAACCAACCCATCAAGCTCTAGTCAAACAAAACAGTACATCAATTAAGGATCGAAGCTCTGAAAATAGCACTCTAAAACTGAACAGTGGGGTAGTGGATCAGGAGTGTCAAACTGTAGATCTTGATTGTGAAACAGAGGAGCAGAACTGCCACACCCTAGTTCTAGCCGGTGTAAAGCAAGATGGCATTTATAGACATGACCAAGGAACCAGTACTGATGATTTGGTTAGTGATAGCCAAGTCAGCAAAAACAAGACAAATTTAGACTCCAAACAGGTCCACTCATTTGCCCTAGAAAAAGCAAGGCATTCTCTCAGTGGAAGCGATGATATGGACAGTCAGTTTATTCTTTCTCGAGACATGGAATCCAATTTTAATGAAAGCATTTCTAATTTCAGTTCTAGTGATTCATACTGTAAACAAGATCTGCAGAAAATTGTTCCTTCCACTAGGAATGAAACAGGCATTGTTGATGAAACTCTATCTTGTGCATCAGAGGCAAGCTCTCTTATCAGGGCTCCAATCACTCAGGATAAAATTGAAAAGAGTACAGGTGACTGTGTAGATATGAGCTGCAAAGAAAGCGGAGATTCGGAGGATTCTGTATTTCAAATGGATCTCTGTGCCATTAAGCATGATAACTCTATGTTCTTCAAGGAAGCTGTCAGCAGCGAGGTGAAAGAAACTGATACAGAGTGTCTCAATATCTGTAATGAATCTTCCATGATTCTTGGTCAGCTTGAATATGGAATCTCTGTAAGTGAATTTAGTGCTACAGTTAAGGCTGGTAGCACCCTTGGTAATTTATCTTTTAAAGAACAAATTTGTGGCAGAGTTCGAGATGCTCATGTCATTAAGATTGGCAGAGATGGTTTGGGGGGTGAATGCAGTCAGCACAAAAATACTTCCAAAAATAACAATAGTCATGGTGTATGGTTTTCCAGCCTTGATCACGATTATGACCTGGTCAACAGGAGTTGTGATGTCAATGTTGATGACAATGTAGAATCTGATCAGAAAGAACTAAATTCTGAATCAAAAAACAATGAAAATCCCCAAACTGTTCAAACAGACAAGCTTTTCAAGAATGTCATTGAATGTTGTGATAAATCTGCAGAGCAAATTGAGGCAGAAAGAAGTATTATTGACTTGGCTGCCAAGCTTAATAATGCTAAAATTGAAGCAAACTGCATCAAGAATTTTGAAGATAGCATCTCAGTACTTCCCTGTGAAATGTCTAATCCATGCAATGTCTTAACAGACCACAAGTATAATTCCGATGCTTTGCATCCAACTGAGCTTTACAGCAGTATTGTTGATGGAGGCAACGTTTACACAGAAGTTGATTCTGATTCAATTCAATCTGACCCAAAAGCCTACAATGTAGGTGACACACTTATTGAGTTAGATTCAGACTCAACCCAAGCTGGTGTTATTTTTATTGATGTTAGCAAGGATCAAATCACTCATAGTGGCACAGAAGACTTTGATATTGACTGTACCACTAAGAAAACAAGTTCAACAGACAAAAGTGACCTTGACTTGATAGAACATTACAATATTCCTCAAGAACAATTTTGCATTTCTGTATTGAACTGTGATAAAGATGAGAGAAAGAATTTGATTGACGATAAAAGGATTTTGGACACTGTCTGCAACACAGGACAGGATTTTGTTGATTCCGTGTCAGTTGTCTACTCCACTTATGAAGAGGAGAGTACAACTTTTAACAAACTCTGGAGCAATGAAATTAAGCTACGTAATGAAAACTATCAGACAGAGAGTCACTTAAGTTCAGAAAGGGAGTCCTGTGATAAGTCTAACTGTGACGTTGATTATTCTTTGTCAAGGAAGCGCAAGGGTGGTAAGACAACATGTAAGCAAGATCTCTCTAAATGCCAGAGACTAGTAACTCCAGGTGGTACTTCTTGCAGTAAATCATGCACTTTTGATCTTTGTGGCTCAGTGAAGAAATCTTGTTCTCCTTCTCAACCCACAATAAGGGGTCCTAGATCTTCTCAACCAAATATACTGAAAAAGTCTCCCAAGAAGTTGCAACCGCTGACTGACAAAAATACTTTTGCTCATAGCTCTGATAGTGAAATGTGGATCCAAGAAGTTTTGCTAGGAGAAGTTAAATCTAAAACTCCTAGTTCCTCTCAGCGCTCACCAGTGTCTACATCTTCAGTTCTTAAGGGTGAAGACAGCTTCGAAGAGCTGTCAGATCAAGAAAATGCATTGGTTACTAAGACCCTTAGTCAGAGAGAAGAAAAGGAGTTAACTCATAACACATTTTCTGCAATAGATGAAGATAGCTTTGATCTAGAAAAAGCAATTGTATCAGCTCAAATGGCTAAAACCATGAACACTTCCAAAATTACAAAACCTTCAACAAACATTACTAACCTTATGGAGCTTTCAGAGGACAATCGGTCAATTTGCAAAAAGGGAGCTAACGAGATTTTTAGTTTATCTCTATCAGCTGAATCATCTGCAAAATCAAGCATTAAAAAAATTAAGAAATCACGAGAAAGTGTATTTGAACCTCGTCCTCCTAAGGTAAAACTTTTTTTTTCCAATTTATTTTCTAGCCTTTCATCAGTCAACTTATGTGCAAGATCATTATTGTCTGTTTCTTTTCTGTTTGTAGTTAACATGTGAATACTGCAACAAGCAGTTTGCCAAGCTGTTTGATTTAAGACAACATCAGCGGAGTCACACTGGTGAAAAACCTTTCCAGTGTAGTGCATGTGGCAAATCCTTTGCCCAAAAGTCTAACTTAAAGAAGCATATTCGGACTCACAAGGTAAGCAGCTGACGCATCTTATCAAATGAATCAGTAGGGGCTACTTTGTATGTCTCTATTACTATATGATGTACTTACCGATATACCCAATGAAATTGCATCAAGAGAGAAGTTGACCAGAATTGAAGGAACCCGCTCAATTTTAATCTGTTATTTTAGGTCTGGCCTGAAATAGTTTCTACACTTCCTGAAAATGTGATAGAAAAGGTACACACAGTAAACAAAGTTGCGGAGGAACCTGATGCTGTTACTAAAGTAATGTCTCCAGAAGATTCAAATACAATTCAGACTAATGGGAAATCGCAATCTGCATGTGCCAGAGTAAGTTTGTGATAGATTAGTTACTGAATACTTTTATATCTGCTGTGTGATTTACACCTTTACTTTGTGTTTTGTAGGCGACACCTTACAAAAGAAAAGAAGAATTAATAGTGAATAATTCTTATTTCTGCCAGTTTTGTGGCATCTCATTTGTCACTTATTCTGAGTTCAAAACTCATCTCAAAAGTCATAAAGATGAGAAGGTGAAGCTTAATGCTTTCTTTAACCAAGTATATTAAAAAGTCTCTTGGTAAAATCAGTCAAATGTTCTACTAACAGCACTTGTGTTTTAGGTGTACTTCTGCAGTCAGGATGATTGCAAAAAAACTTTTCCTGATTTTGAGTCATATGTTATTCATGTGCGCCAGCATGAGCCACTGAAGACATCTTATCCTTGCCATATTTGTCATGAAACATTCAGTAGTCCACCAGATTTGAAAGATCATCAGAAAAGACACGTTCACAATTCTACATCTAGGCGGTTAGTAACTTTTTAACGAAGAAAATTTCCTTCTATGTATCAACATGAGTGCTGTTTCATTTTGCCTTCTATCTTCTTTTGATCATTTTCTAGGTATCTTGTTAAGTGTCCTAAATGCAGGAGTAGATTTTTGTCCCAAGAGGCATTAGATAATCATTTAAGGACAGTTACTCATGACCTGCCTTGTCCTGAATGCCAGACTATTTTTTCTTGCGAACGTAGTCTTCGACGCCATCTTGCAATTCATAGTACGGCTCTCCCATTTGGTTGCGATGTATGTGGCAAGAGATTTAAGACAGCAGTGTATCTTAATAGTCATTCAGTTATGCATCAAGAGGATAAGCCATTTGCATGCCCGGTAAGTTGAAATCATCTTTAATCATTTTGTTCAGGTCTTGAATGTAAATGTCAATCAAATGTGTTGTACTTGGTATTGAATGTATGTCCTCTCTATTCATCCAATAGCAATGTCCGTCAAAGTTTGCTAAGAAAGATAGGCTGTCTCGACATTTATTGATACATGCTGAGCGGCTGAAGTGCCCTTTTCACACACATTTGTCATGTGCAAGGGAGTTCACACGTCCTGGTATGTTCATTATTTTTCATATCTAACAACCTTGTAGAATATTGGTTTGAATGCTTCCTACCTTTACTTTTTCAGATAAATTGAAGCTGCATGTTTTGGCTCACTCAGAACATGAGACAAGTGATTGTCTCTTCTGCAGAAAACAACGAATCAAATTTTCGGCAAAAAAGGGCTATCATAATGTTTATCATCAAAATGTATGTACATGAAATTTCCTTTGACTGTTTGATTTATTTTTACTTTGTGAATTTTTAAGAACCGTAAAGGACCATATTCTTCTTTCAGGCTAACATAAAAAGCCAAGGAGACGTAGGAGAGGAGTTATCAAGAGAAAGCACCTCTCCCCTGAACAAAAACAAAAATCAGGAAAAAGAATGTGAAGAAAACATTTTTGTTGGGTCTTTAGTCAATACTTCACTTGAGCCACGTTTTATGAGTAATGTGGTGAAAACATCCTCAAGTCTCAATCATAATGGAAACATAATGTTAAAAATGTTGCAAAATAAGCGCTCTTTTGATATTACTGACAAATTGAGCTGTGAAAATATTGAGACTAATACCTTTAATTTTGACCATATTGTGTATGATAGTCTTGCAAGAAATAAGAATGTTCCAACTATTGGAATAATTGTAATGCCCCTGTCTCTCAATGGAAACAAGGAACAAATTGTTGTAAGTAGTGATGAAAATTCTGTTTTAGCCAGTGATGAACCCGTAGATTATCAACTTTTGTTTTCGGAGAGTAACTCCTCATATCCTGTGGACTTGTTGACTGGCTCTGAGGCCTTGTTGCCTGAAGTAGACTGTGATAAGGAAGGGATGGGGGGCATCACCTTGCTCAGTACGGACCAAGATGTGGCCGTCGTCTCTGCCCCAGCTGATTTGTAATTTTTGTGATATCTACTGTATTTTAAATGCAGTATTCTTGCTCTAAGCCATCTTATTTGATATTCCACTTACTTTTCTATTTTAGTGGGTTGCCGAATTAATGTGTGGGTAGTATAACACTAGTATATATATTATATATATAGATATAATTTATCTCCCTGTCATGATTTGTGGTTTCAAACTTCGTACCTTAGTGGATGTAATGTAAACTGTCTGAGCCGCTACTTTGTCCAGATTTATATTCTCACTTTATTTTTGAGTCTTTGTCTACTGCTGTACTGTGGCCTTTCACATGATGTGATTGGGTTTTCTCTGGCAGTATTACTGAATTTTGTTTAATAGTTTTTAGTGCTGGTTATGCTGCTTTTGATTTATTGCCATGACCAATGGTTAAGGTTACATTTAAAAGTTGTGTATAAGCAACAACAAAGTTACAGTTGTAATATTTAAGTAGAATGCTGTGCCACCTTTTTATTAAATTGTCACTATACTTGCTCATAAGTGCATGCTGGATTTTGCAACTGTACCCAAACTTAAGGAAGAGGTATTTATGTCTGCAACTTCACACTGCCGATATCTTTAGACTTGTCAAGTGCCGTACTTAATATAATTAATCCCTTAGTCATGTCCTTATATTCTGGTCATATATTTCTTCTTTACATCTTGTTTCATAAGGGCTGGGCTGTTTAACTTTTTCTCACATCTTATCTTAAGGGTAACCGAAGAGAGACTAAAATTTGTTACTGTATTATGCTTTATTGTGTGGTCTGGTGGTAGTTGTAGCTCACTTCAGCTTATTTCTACCATGTCTCACTTAGCATCACTTACCCAATGTCAATCTTCCACATCATTTTAGTACATTGATTTTATTGACTTGTTATTATTTTTCTTGTTTATTGTTTTTGGATGTGAAGCTGTAAGTGGGCCTAAATTGAGATTTCTCAAGCATGGCAAACATTTAAAAAATGTTTTGTCTGTTAATTTTTGAACAAACATTCTTAGTCAGAACTTTTTTCTTCTAGTATATAAATTGTTTCTAAAGTATGCCATAGGCATTACTTGACTGCCCTAGTAATGAGCTTAGACAATGTTCACATAGTGCCTGAAGTTTGTGTTACTGTAAGGTGCAATAATTATTAAGATTTATTTTAATTTTAATAGAGTTCTTTGAAGTCTACACTATTATATACAATTGCCTTTTTTGCATTGTGGCAAATCTTGGCAAACCTCACTTCCAGAGATTCACTTGGTACTCAGAGGTGCCGAATTAGTCAGTTTTGTTACTAATTCTTTTCTAGGGAACATTTGTTTTGGGATGAAGACTGTATTATTATTACGTTCAGGTGTTGTGACACATTTTCCTTTTTAGCAGGAGGTGTGATATTTTATTGTTAGTAGTAAAAATTAGTGGGCCTGTATTGTTCCAGGACAGTATTTATTGTAAGAGCACCGCCATGTGTTTTAGTGATTAATCAATCAAGGTTCTTCTTTTGTATTTTGCATGTTTGCAATAGTTCCTTTTTATTTTCATAAACCAAATATTTTACTTCTTTGTTATGACCCAAGTGTTGATGCATAAATGCTGTGTATTGTTGATGTTATATGTTTCTCACATTATTTTATAAGTATTTATCAACTAAGGAAAGGATACTTGCTAATTCAATTGTGATGCATTTACTAATGTCATTTTGGTGTGCAATGAAAATTTATTTTGTTCTCTTTTGGTTTTGTGCCAAACCAATAAATACTTTATGGAAATATGGAAATATTAAGCCTTTTCATCTTGAAAACATCAAGACCAAACAGAATAGAAAATCAGAGTTGCTGGATATAATTCATCAAACTTTGAAATGCCTTCGTTTATCAGTTCCTTCAACGAAAATATCATTGACCTGCCTTTGAACGACTCAAAGGAGGTCCGTAGGCAAATTTGTTAAAATCTTCAATTTCTCGAAAAACGGCTCTAACTCCGGACCTATTGGAGCCACAGCGCCCCGATTTTGCCTGTAGGTAACTCTAGTAAAACTGGAAAGACCCTCCCAAGGAACAGAGATTGGTCACGATGACGTCAAAATGACGTCCAAATGACCATTTTTTGATCACGAATGGTCAATTCATCCTGTGAATGATGACACATGACCAAAATATGATTTCAAAAACCTAATGACGATGAGTGACGTGAAAATGACGAAGCCGATAGCATCCATGTTTATTTTGAAATTTGCAATTTTCTCCCGCCCACCAGCAATGGTATGAGAAATTGGTGGACTCGCGGTGGCGTTGGCTGTTCATGTGTAGTATTCTCATACCAAGCCTGACAGCCCTGGTGGGGGATCGGGAGATCGCGGGCGCGGGTTCTGTGTAACCAACCTAAGGCATCGAATGATCGGGGGTAA